AAATGATCCAAGCCTAGCCGAGCTCACGCCCCACCTGTCCATACCGACCTAGCCGAGCTCAAGCCCCACCTGCCCATCACATTTGTCCCCGGAATTTGGACCCCTAGGGAAGAAAACCATATTTACCCACAAATGATCCAAGCCTAGCCGAGCTCAAGCCCCACCTGTCCATACAGACGTGGCCGAGCTCAAGCCCCACCTGCCCATCACATTTGCCCCTGGGATTTGGACCCCTAGGGAAGAAAAGCATATTTACCCACAAATGATCCAAGCCTAGCCGAGCTCAAGCCCCACCTGTCCATACAGACCTAGCCGAGCTCAAGCCCCAACTGCCCATCACATTTGTCCCCGGGATTTGGACCCCTAGGGAAGAAAAGCATATTTACCCACAAATGATCCAAGCCTAGCCGAGCTCAAGCCCCACCTGTCCATACAGACCTAGCCGAGCTCAAGCCCCAACTGCCCATCACATTTGTCCCCGGGATTTGGACCCCTAGGGAAGAAAAGCATATTTACCCACAAATGATCCAAGCCTAGCCGAGCTCAAGCCCCACCTGTCCATACAGACCTAGCCGAGCTCAAGCCCCAACTGCCCATCACATTTGTCCCCGGGATTTGGACCCCTAGGGAAGAAAAGCATATTTACCCACAAATGATCCAAGCCTAGCCGAGCTCAAGCCCCACCTGCCCATCACATTTGCCCCTGGGATTTGGAGCCGTAGGTAAGAAAACTACCGTATATTTACCGACAAATGATCCAAGCCTAGCCTAGCTCAAGCCCCACCTACCCATCAAATTTGCCCCTGGGATTTGGACCCCTAGGGAAGAAAACTATATTTACCCACAAATGATCCAAGCCTAGCCAAGCCTAGCTAAGCTCAAGCCCCACCTACCCATCACATTTCCCCTGGTATTTAATTAGTAAAAATGTTTTTATGTTATTGACAGAAATTGTCTGAATTTAATGCCCAATGCCAATTAGCCAAGGAGAATTCCGTGCCTGCTAGCGACTCCAGATTTAACCAAATGGGAGTCTATTATTTCTCTATTTTCCCAGTTTCCCTTACACAGGCTAATCACATTAACAAAACTTGACTTGTAAAATTAAATATTGATCAATCACATCAACCCTGGGAGTGACACTACTTGGGAGAAATACATGTAAGATATAGACCCTTACATATATATTTTACCTATGACACATTTGACAAGATGATTTGATGATTTATGTAAGAAGAAAAGCATCTCAAGGTGTCATTTCTTGTCTTAATTCAGTATGCAATCTAAAGTGCACCAATCCACTTGTAGACATCAATGTTTTCTGATGTTCATCGTGAACTTCAGTTCCACAAACAGATAAATTTTAAGGCGAATGATGAATGAGAAAAGTAACATCCACTTACAGTAGCATTGAAGGCACTGTATGCTTCTTGTGAGGTCTGTGAAAACAAAAATTTCCTTAAATTTCCTTCTTCATATGCAAATATAGTATTCATGAGCACTTCCAGTTGTGCTAAAAAGAGAAATGGACCAACATGCAAATATACAACATATATGCATCACAATGAATTGTAATATATAGATTTAGCCAGGGCTAAAAGCGAGGCTCCCATTAATATATTTATAATTTAAATCAAACAATAAACTTGTATTCGACAATTCAGTTAACTTTAGAGCACATAGCACATTCATGTGGCTTTTAAGGGAAAGGCTAAGTGAGTTTAGAGAAAAATAATTTGCAAACAGCCCAAGAGTGAACAAAATCTTACATCAAGTTGATAGCCTCATATGTACACCCAAAAAATAGCAATCATCTTCGATCACATTTAGGAGCCATAATGGCTCTTGATCACCGTAAGATTAATTAAGCCTGGAAAAAAAATCAGGCCGAATTTTTTTGCGTTCGACAGGTTTACTTTACAAAATCTTGCCAACAAATCCAGGTGCTTGCACATGTAAACCAATTTTTATACCATTTATACATCACATCTGAGGTGAAACAGAGGTACTGTTTTCATCATACAGACCTCGGACAGAATAAAGTATTTCACAATTTTGCAACACAAATTGCACTCATTTAATATTCTGGACGATCGAAGCACGCGTGGGCTTTTTAAACCGTTAAAAAAATTTCCAAAATCATATACGGCCAGCCGGTTCTCACTTTTGCAGTGCGAACTGTAGCGAGTGTTTGAACGAACAGTTAAGCTACAACATAATAAAGAAATTATTATGTTTATTCAGTTTTATTAAATTGTTTTATCGATGTGTATAATCTTTAAAAGCGCCGGTTTGATACCCGCGGCACTGTGAGTACTCCTGCAAGCGATGTTCACTGAACGATTGAAAACAAACGGCACGGCGATTAAAATTACAAGAGAGACTACCAACAATCAATAAAAGAAATATAATTCGGTGAAACATATACAGAGATAACATTTTTCATTGACGAAGACAAGTATTAAAGTGTCTCTAAAAATCCTGAGTCTTCAAGCTTAAAGCTTAAGTTTATGTTTTAAATCGGCTTCCCCGTATTTACTTTTTTCAAAGATGAACTCGAGGCAAGAAAATTGCTCAAAGCTTTCTTTTACAGCCAGAGTTATAACTAAATGTTCTTTGGAACGTTTTCTTTTTATTTGCGGTGAGAAAATGTCTAAAGGCTTTTTAAAAGTTCTGTAAGCTTATATCAAACCTGATTCTTGATCATATCAAATTGTCTCAAATCTTATAAACGTGCATAAACTACATAGCCGCATAAACTGCGCTCGACTTTATTAAATTAGATATAAAAAACAAACATCAAACACAATAATTACTGGGGCTTACCATTCGAGATGCAGCTCCTGAAAGGTATCAAGGAAGGCCAGTATCGCTTCAGACTTTTCAACCCTTACGCATCAAGCAAGGTGAAAAGCGAAATCGATGCCATCCGAAATCTGATTTCCGACTTTGACGAGTAATGTTTTAATCTCTCAACCAAAAACCAACTAGCCATGAATAACAGAAGACTCCTGATAGCAGCTGAATTTCATTTTGTGCATCCAGTGGAAAAAGACAGTTACAAACATCACAAGTTGACACAAAACTCTGTCAGCTTCAGCTGTCAAAGTAAACAAGATTCAAAATGCTGCATAAATTTTCCGCATGAGCTCACCTGTCAAATTTTGACCAATCAGAGCTTTAAAAATGGATGTAGAGCGTGACCAACGCGTGACCATGGTGAGCAAAGTCAAAAGCAACTGTCTTGCCTGTAATAGCTGGCTGAATTTTCGGGTCCGAGGTCAGTTTTAAATCAAAATTTTAATTGTGCGGCCCAAAAACAAAACATATTTCATATGAATGAAAAAAAATGAAACTTGAGCCTGCGATCATTTGAAAACTAGTAATTTGTCAGCGGATAACTTCAAAAAAATACTTGACCTCAATGGGTTAACACCTGAGCCCGCGATACCGTCAAGTGATACTGGTCAGCGGATACCCTGTTTTGACAGCTGTCAATTGATCAAAACATTGATGTCTAATGGATGTGTGCATTATCAGTTTTCCTGTGCTCTCAAACTAGCTAGAAAGTATGAGATTGAACATTGATCGCGATCTAGTAAAACAACGGGTCAGCGGACAGCTTCCAAATAACTCACGTCACCTTGATGAGTTGACACATGAGCCCCCGATATGGCAATGTGATACTGGTCAGTGGCTATCTTGTTTTGACAGCTGTCAATTGACCATATCGTGAATGGCCAATGTAAAAGATGTGGATTTGCTAAGACACGCCTGAGACACCCCTCCCTTCCTTTTGACAGTCTCCCCTTCCCTACCCGTACAATCTGTAGACGCGTACGTACGTACGTACGTACGCTCGGTCAGTCACGTGACAACCAAAAGAAAAGAGGTTGACCATATTCCATGAGTATGGGGCTCTGTCCCACGCGCGCTTCGCGCGCGAGGGAGCCCCGCTATTACTCACCAACTCTGATATAAATACCATCTCATTTCCTGCAATTGCAGTGTCTTCGCTAATAAGGCAAGTACTCAGGGGTCGATGCAGAGAGAAGTAAAGGGGGACCTCTGCAAGGCTACCAAGCCAGTCATAGACCTCCTACAATCAATGCAATAGCCATTAGAAATACAATATTATAGTACTACATAAATAGAGATACAGTGGGTAATTGAAAATCTGCACCATGGTGACAATGAGACTAGTGACAAAAGCAGATGAAAGCCGGCAAACAAAAAAAACAGTAGTAGCATCTCGTATGGTTATCATGGTTTTGATTCTTACAAGGATCACAACAAGTAACACCTTACCTGAAATGTTGCCCCTCTGTTAAACAAACTCTGGAATGTTGTGTCATACCACTTGGCCTTTATAGAATAGCCATCTCCCCCGTAGGAATGCCTCCTTTGTTTTCTTTTATTTCGGATCTACAATTAAATAGAAATACACTGACATGACTGATCTAAAACACACCTATAAGATATTATGCAAAAAATATTTTCTAGAAGTGAAATGTAACTGCTTGTCTGATACTTTTCTGTATGTTTTTATGAAAACAAAGTTCACATCATTTATCAGCCTGAATTCTTCAGAACAACCAGCTTCACCCATTCACACATGGTCAGGATTCAGATATGAATTGAAGAAAGTAAACAGGTGAAATGTTTACGAAATATACTTCTTACAAAATTCTCGTCCAAAGGCTGTGTGTTATCTGCAGGTCTTGTCAATGCCTGTAAAATATAAACACTTGGAAATCAATTTCTTTGTATAGTTCAAATATCTATGAAGCAACACATTACTCTGATCATGATCAGCTTTTTTATTACAGGGGACATACATTGCTTAGGTCACATTCATCATCACATTTCCTTTTTGTTCCACACAGGGCATTGTCTGTCTTTCCGCAGCTTAATGACTCTGCTTTCTGCAATCAATGTAAAAATAAATTGTGGTTAAATTGTTTGTTTCACCTCCAGTGGAAACTCAAACGTGGGACGCCTGCTTTAAGGGGACAGAAAGTCCTGTCTTGACAAAGCACTTGCACATTATTGCTACCTCTGTATTTACCTCTATAAACAGAAGCTAACAGCTCAGCTTGTTTTTTAAACGTCTTGCTATCTATTACCATATTATCATATAAATTTTCAGTACCTTCTTATCCGCAAGTAATGATTCATTATATTCTCTGTCTTGCTCCTCCCTCATCAGTCTGATGTTTTCAGATTTCTCCCTGCAAGTACATATTTATGTTAATTTTAGTGGAACAATTACGAAGATTAACATATCATTTGGTTGTGACAGACACAGAATATAACCTATGTCATGAAAACCATGTCTACCGTGGTTGTTTTGGTACACAAATGATTACATACATTGCAAGCCCCCTTACTCTTAAATACGGTGTGGCAGGTTATCAGAGTAAAGTTGTCCAGAACAACAAACACAATAGCAAGTTAAGCGGACTTAACAGTTGGCACGCCTTTCAGAAAAATCTGCCAAGGAACTCTTGAATTGATCCACAACAGCAGCATCATTTAAATTATCTACAAAGAAAAAAATTGTTATTAAAGAAGTATAACAAAGGTTATGTAGCAGATACATGTAGAACTCGAAAGAAACGCCTCCAATTCATGCTTTTGTAAAAAAAATGAATGTACTCATGATTAATATTGCTATTGTTTTGGACACAAAATTTCTCTTAAACTTAATGGCTGTCTACAATTTGGTGCATTCCAAGATACATACCTCTGCTTGTTAAATTTAACAGGACTTTGAACACACTACACACGTTTGTGAGTCACAGAGCCAGTGATGCGTCAATTCTCTCCCCTGGCAGCAGTCTCTCCACTGCAAATCAGTTAATAAGAATACTTTTAAAAAGGAAACCATAAAAAAACAATTATTGTTATCACTTTTGCTATATATATGACAATGGAAACATAGGACAAATTAAATGAGGTACAGCTGCTCTAGTTTTGGACTGAGTATCAACTAGATTCCATGACATTCATTATACAATTAGCCTACTGCTGCAGATTACCACTTGTTGTGTTTGAGTGGCTTCTTTAATTATGTCGTTTCCTTTTGGGTGACTTAATAAAGTTGTTAACTTACAAATTTGATAATCATGACTCTGTCTTTTTAATGGCCACACAGATGTTTGAGAGTTTGCAAGTTTGCAAAGGTCTGCATTTTCAGCAAATAACCTAAAAATAAGAAAAGGATTATTTCAAATTACATGTATGAATCACATATAGTCCAAGGACTCCTACATGTATATATTTGGCCAACAAAACAACCTAGACTAATGCTAAGTTGCCTATGTCACTAGTTTTACAGCTGCACTCTATGATGACACAGCCTTCATGCAAATACACTAGCGCACACAAGAAAATGTGGGACAGGTACATGTAATTTGGATACCTGATCTAACCAACTTAATGCTTTATCTCTGGTGCTTTTCGTAAAATTACCTGGCCACCAACTTGTATTGAAAACCCTAACAAGTCAAAAAAGGAATTAATTGTTACCTGACAGATCCCTGTGAATGGTCATTCCACAATAAAGCTACCACGGGTATCCCATGACTGATAGTGGCTACTTGATCCACCTACATGTAGTTAGAGGAAAAAGAAACAAGTTGTATGTTAGTGCATGGGATGACTTGGTTGAAATCAATTTAACTTCACAATGAACATATTACTCACGACATGTCCACTGTAAGGATGGAGTTGTAAAGGGCATGGTGCAGCAAGGGTCCGCAAGAGTGCCTGAAAGTCATCTGTAACTTGTCTGTCGCCTTGAATAATAATAATAATCAAATGTTTATATAATTATTATTGTCATGTGTTTCCATGTATGTTATTTTGCAGACAATAGTCTTTTTGTCAAGTAAATTTAACATTTGACTAGCTTATTTTTTTCTTTCACTTAGTAATCTTATTTCATTTATTTATATGTAGTTAAACTGGAATCATGTAGATAGGGATAAGGGTGAGTAGATTAGAATAAGGGTGACTGGTGGGTAGAGATTGAGACCTCTGAGGTGGTAAGTGTGGCGCGGTTGTTGTGAATGTGGCAGCTGGGCTTGCTTGTAGAAGTTATATAACCCTGTGGTCTGTTAATTTTTTCACCGTTTTTTTTTAAATACACCCTGTATATATGTATATATATGTAAATATTATTATCATTATTAACTACAGTATGACAGACCTCCAAATAAAACCATATTTGAATTTGATGCAGGAACAGTTGTGCCTATAAAAAAAGGACTGTTAGCAAACAATCAACAAACACTTCCAAAACTTTACAAATGAGCTAGAAAAAGTCATAGATCTTTAACCGTTTCACTCTCAGAATAAATTATGACAACATGATGTGACTATTCAAATAAAACCTCTTCAGCAGTACTTTTTCTTAAATTTTGATGTTTGGCACTCTTGGGAGTTAAGGGGTTAGTTAACTCAATGTTCAATAATCTTCAATTATTACTATAACACATACCACAAACTACCCAAGAATCCATATCAAACTCTGAAGCATCGACTACTGTAGCAATTTCTCCACTTTTCTTTCCTATAGGTAAAACAATTCAACAAGTTTCAATTGGCGACTTCCTAAAAGGAAACCATCTCTACCATATATAAGACTGAATCAAGATAAAATTCAAATCTGATTAACACTAACCAATTTAAATTCAGAGGCATGCAAGAATTAAGCCTTGTAATAGTTTCAATAGTACTACAGCTACATGTAGCTTTTTTTTTTAAGATGGAACTTGGGAGATCTTAGACCAAAGCAACATGAACTTGATGTGTACTTAACTTAAAATATTGCATTTGTATTTCTGATAGTCTATGAAAACCAGTCATTATTAATTCAAATGGTAGTCTAAGATCTAACCTGTACTGTTATTCTCAACTTTTTTCACTTGAACTACATGTATATGTAGGTTTGTAGGTGTTGATGTCATGTTAGTACTTCTTTGTTGCCCTGTGAAGCAAAACAAAAACAAATTATAACTTAAATTATATTAGGAATATTAATATTATTGCATTCATAATATCTAGTTTGCCATACATCATCTAGAAGTTCCAAAGAACTAACATGCAATTCAGTCTCTGCCAATGCTTACACGTTTTTTCAGTGGTTGCTTTCACGTCTCTATTAAATGTGTACTATTGATATGAAATTATTGTCATTATTTATTTATTTATTTATTTAAATAGTGTTGTTAATAATACACTTGCTTACCACGAGAAGATGACTGCTGTGTAATGGTAGTAGTGGTAATAGTAGTGGTAGAAGTGGTAGTAGAGGTATTGCTCTGTTAAAAGCACAAAACAATAATTTTTCGTTAATTCTAAGACATCAGTAGAATGAACTTCACAATATACATTGGTACATTTCATAAAAAGCTGTTGACGATATATACGGGAATTCAATACCTGACTTGCTGTTAATCTCAAATACAGACAACCCTGTCCACGGATGGCATGGCTGAGTGGCAAAGGGTGCCAAGCTGTTCGTACCAGAACCACGGACTATTTCGAAGTCTGTATTCCTGTTATTAAAATGAAATAGTGTTTACTTATGAAGTTATTAAGTGCACACCTTGTATGCTTGACAGAACAGGAACAAATTTCTCAAACTTAAATTATATTTTCTGGCCATGATTCAACCACATACACACATACAAACATTGTTTTTTGTGGGAAACACATACCCTCTCACATCCCTTTCACAATAAAAACAAAGGTGAGAAGAATAAATTATTTCCTTCCATCAAGACAAATGCTTGGCTCATTGGAAGTAACTTTGTTTATTTTTCTATTGACCAAATCATTTTCTTTTCATCAAGCCATGATGTTCAGCAAATTAAGACTCACCTATTTAAATCTGGAAATAATTCAGTTAGTTTCCTGAATGTGGTAGAAGCTGGTGCTCCTCTTGATATCTCAAACGTTTTCATCCTCCCACTTCTTTCTAGTTCTGATCTATTTGATCCACGTGGAATGGAGGTTTGTTCCGGGTTCAGAAGGATGACTCCAAAACTATAGCTGTTAGTTGTGGTTGAACCGCTGCCACGGCCGCGAATGCGACCGCGACTACTACCTCATCCCCTCCCTTGTCCACGTCCTCTACTAGCTGATACTAGGTTGTCAGCCAAATTAAACAATGCCCCTGTAGACTGGTTTTCAAATGCAGACCTTACATGGGATGCAATTGCATTTGCAGTTTTAGCAGCCTTGAAAATAGAATAAAGAAATCCCAACATTAACCGTAAGGCCTAAATCAAAGGGATGTATTTCCATTGAGAATACTAATGGTTGGATTAAATGTAATAAGTAATATGTAAACTGTGTAACATTATCAAATATATGTAACCTGCAAAGAACGTGACACAGCCACCAAAAGTGAATCCAGGAACACTAACAAAGAAATGGTTACCACAGACTAAAATGAAATTAAAGCGCTAAAGCCCGGTCCTCACTTGCGACGCAAGCATAAGCATAAGCATAAGCATAAGCACAAGAAGCTTATGCGCTTATACGCTAGTGAGGACGGCCATAACATAAGCATAAGCATATACGCATACGTAGAGTATATTTTTGTGTCCATTCCCTCTCGCCCCAGCAGTCTTATGCTTATGCCAACCATATCCTCACTGGAAATAATAGCGACATAAGCATAAGCATAAGAAGAACGCAAGTTTTGATATTCTTATGCTTATGCTTATGCTTATGTTACGGCTGTCCTCACTAGGGCATAAGCTTCTTGTGCTTATGCTTATGCTTGCGTCGCAAGTGAGGACTGGGCTTAATTGAGTGCACTCCTAGCTATAGCTATTGTAATGAAGGAACAAGGTCACATTGGCAGTAATATCAATCTTGACTTACACTGCATATGAACAGATGACGAAAAGAAGAAACTCACCTGGAGTACTGCACTTGAATTCTGCTGTAAACTACCATTCTGAAAATTAACAGTGACCATTGATATATAAGTTATCAACATATAAGTTGATATATATATATATATATATATATATGTATATACATAAGTTACAAATTAAATAAGGTTAGCAGTACATACAATACATGTATATGCAGAAACTTAGTCTTTCTTATCACAAACAAGGTTGAACCTTAAAAAGTGATCATGTTACAAATTAAGAGTGACAGCTGTTGTAGTTGCAGACATTCAGATTGTTAATATCCAATAACTACTTTCAAACGCATAATATGCAATGCATTCTGCAATCCAAAATCCACAGAAGTCCAGTCCAGTGGTCTAACTTTTTTCTCCGATCAGCTTGATCAGATCTCCATTTTTTTTTTCTTTTAATTTTTTGGTTGAGAATTTATTGATAATATGCTTACAAAGTTGTGAGGTCAATCAATCTTTAGCCAAAAAAAGCTAGGCCAAAAAATAGCTCTTATTAATATACAGAAACATAAGACAGAAACTTAGGAAAGACTCATACACCATTTAAACCAGTATCACGACAAGTGTGAGTCATGCCCATGCGTAAGATATGTTTGTTCTATATATAATGCACCAGTCAATTCCAGCAGTGCCCCGGGCATAAGCATTTTTTTTAAAAAGATTGGCAAATTCCCTGGGGTGGGGACACTTAAGCTGTTCGAATACCCCAGGGTGGGGGCAAAAAAAGAGGGCAAATGCCCCACCCCCGGGATCGTCCCCAACCAAAAATACCACTTTTCAGTTTTTTTGAGTGTTTTTTTTTTTCTAGTTTTGCTTTTTCACTGTCTATTTTTTAATATGTAGTGGCACGTTCCGAACTTAATTAATAATATTAAAGGAAATGCCGCCAAGCGATTGCAAGACCCCACAGAGAACACTACACTATAGTTGATTTTGGATTTTCTTTTTCCCATGTATTCTGTTTACAAACGTTTGCTACATTGATCAAGAAATATTTTGTTGAAAGTCATTTGTTCTGAAAAACTTAAATAAATGTTAAAAGACCAAACATTTACCAAGCGAGAGACTTGTCATGGACCATTCCACCCACATAAATGTTCAAACAACGTACAGCAACAACAACAACAATGGTAAAATAAGCTCAAATACCGTAATAAACTATAAGCACTGCTATCAAATAACGAATGTGTGATTTTAGTCATTTAATAACTCCATGCTGAGGCTTTTATAGACGTGCCCTAAAAAAACAATTAATCTAGTTTTATAAGACTAAACACTCGTCTTTGCCGAGAAATTCTTCCATGTTTTAGTATGAATTTCCACGGAAACCACATGCGAGTCAAGTGCCTGGGGGTCACATGGGGATAGGCAAATGCCCCACCCCCGGGCCACGAAAACATTGCTAATGCCCCACCCCGGGGACTGACAACGTGAGCAAATGCCCCGGGGTTACCCGGGGAGGGGGGGGGATGGGCACTGCTGGAATTGACTGATGCATAACGTACCATAAGTTAAGCAGCAATTTTTCTAAAACAATTTAAGTTGATAAGAACCCACTTGTCCAAGAGAATAATGCTAAGAATAATGGCATATGTGTAAACCGCATAACTATTTCTAATTGCTTTTATAAAGAAGGCTATCACAGGAAAGCCAGGATTCTTTGGTGAGTTTAATTTATACCTAATGTGAACAATATTTATTGTATTTGCTGTAGTAGGGTCAGACTGTGCTTCGACACTTGGTAACTATGTCTTGCTTATGTTATTGTTTTGGACTGGAAGTCACAAGTGATTAAAAAAAAATGAGAAAAAAAGAAGGCAAATTTAATGAACTCAGGTTGCTCTGCACATGAGTAATAAACAATGACTAATCAGTTGATTACTTATTAACTAATCCATTAGTTAAACATCGATCATTGAAAAGTTATGTCTGAAAAGCTGGCAGTCGCAGTCCGTGGGCCGAGCACGATAACTGCATCATTGCCTTATCAACTGTGAAAAGGAACAGTTTTTTTTCTAAAATGCCTTCTTGTTTGGACTATTACTGGACCATTGGTCAAACACCGTGACGCCAGGGAAGCACAATCCACGTGACCCATGCTAAACCCCTCTTGCTCGTTGATTCATTTCATTGGGATACTAAATTTTAATGCCGTAAGCAATGCCAACCAACTAAACTAAAATTTGTAAATGAACTACTATGCAAACTTCCAAATCTGGTGCAAGCTGTTAAAAAATTTGAGCTTACCGATCCAGCAGTGCTAACATCGCCGGCGCTAGCATCCCCACTGCTTTGCTGATGTGATAAAATATCGGGGGATAAAAACCGTCATTTTATTGTGAGTGCACACAAACATACAAAGGCATACAAAGGCACGCAGCTGTAAAACTATAGGGAGCCACCTTAAGGTTGTGATCCTCATGGCATATAATATTATTATATTTTTTGATCCAGTATGCTAACACATGGTCCATTGGAATTAGATTGGTATTATGAGCGATGTTGCATTTTGTGTCCCAAACTGGCTTCAAGTTGTTATTGTTCAGTTCTTAATACAACCCTGCCCCCCCCCCCTCCCCAAAAATAAATAATAAGTATGCAGGGAATTGAGTTTTGCTTAATGATTGCTAATCGGCCGTCATTCACACTCAGAGGGAGTAATCATTTCAAGCAAGTCATTTCTACATGTATAATAAAAGGGCGAAAGCACAAGTAGTGAGTATATGTATTGATAATTTATTTAAGGGTTCATTATTTTGAAATAAAAAGCCATAAGAAAATGTAAACAATATGTATCTGGCCGACAGTTTTCAAACGCAAGTCGATCAAAATACAGTTAACTTGCAAAATCGAAGAAACAACCATACCAAATAATTAAACAAACTGTAATTTCATTCAAAGACTGGAGTTAACATATCAGAAGAAACTCATTACTATCCTTGGATCGCAATGGAAGGTGACTTTTTCTTAGTTAGATTTCACTAAAGATAGTATGCATAACTATAGTTAGAAAATTCATTTCAATGTATATTAATATTAATAGTAAATGTGCACCAAAAAGTCACATTGTTTTGTTTTGTTACTAATAAATGAAATTTTAAACGCAGTGCCCAGTTCCTAGAAAGAAGATTAGAAATAATCCTGGGTTAACTGTCAACAGAACATATGAATTGTAATGGTTATTAACCCAGGATTAACGCTAATCGGCTGTCTGGGAACTTGGCTTGATATATAATATACAATATGTACAAAAGAAACCAGCAAGACTATAAGAAAATTATTGAAATACAGAAAAAAACTCAGTTCTACTGGACTGAGCAACTTGCCATTGAAATCAACCTATCTTTTGACTGTTTATTAAGTGGTTGTTATTAGTCCATTACTGCAGCTGTCATCTCTGACAAATGTAAATACCAGCATTTCACTAACAAAACATTTCAGAAATAAATCAAAAATTCAGATAAAGGAATTGCTTAACTTGTTATTAAAACAAGAAAAATAATAACTATCACTGGTTCTCTCCAGTGATGCGCTGTAGAAATTCTCGTACTTGCAAATAAATATTTATCCCATAGTTATTGTCGTCGTGCATAGCATTAAAGTTTTCTTCCAATGAAGTTTGAATTTCAGATGACAAGTCCAATATAACTGCAGGTAACAACACCCCACCCTCATCACTATCTGGACCGGGCAAAGGGGCTTCTGGGTCATCTCCATATGTGTCCAAGTTAGGTGGAATGTCTGGATCAAAAACATCTCGGATGCCAGCATTAGGTGAATGAAAGTTTCGAAGGCATCCAGATGCTCAAAGCTGTCTTGGAGTTCTATTATGTTCAGTAGACACCGAGTGCATGTTGAACCTTTGAACGAATCTGTCCAAAAGCCTCTGGACTCGAGGCAAGAAGACATAATGTAGGGCATACATGTCAATTTCATTTCCAGGGTCCAATATGCGATGACTTTCCATAAACATAAACAGTGAAGTGAATATGGTTACCACACTTTCGACGACATCTCTCCATAAACGTTCAATACGCGTGTTTCGGACTCTTGGTCCAGTCAAGAAGCTGCCACGATTCTCTCCTCTAAACCAAACCATATAATCGCCAACTGCTACATTTTCCCCTCCATTATCTGCCCTCAATCGTGATGGATGTCCCCATTGGGTGGTTGCCCTTTGAAAACAGGAGAACACTGTGGCAGCTCTGTTATTGTTGTTAACGTTTAGGTAAATAACACAACGCGAAAACCCATCTACACAACCATGTATGCACATCCTCCAGTGATGCAGTTTCATGTTTGTGTCAATGTGCCATAAGAAGTTTGGGTGGGGTACACTGTACGGTCTGCGTATTATTCTTTGACCCCATCTATTGGCTCTGTTAATGGGGTCTACTCTGACAATCGATTCTCTTACTCTCCACCTCTGTAAATATATTCCACGCTGGCGAAGGCCTGCGATAACATTTGTTTCCCCGGTACGGGGAAATGCTTCGAGTTCTTCAGTAACAACAGTGTCCAGGTCTGCATTCGAAATGGTTGTAAAATTTTCGAACGCGATAGAAAATCCAAGTTCTCGTCTCCTGTTATAGATTGTTTGCCGAGAAACACCAAGGTCAGCAGCAATTTGAGACCAACTGTTGAATTCGCTACGCAAACAGGACAATTGTTCTGCCGATAAAAGATATCTAGGCCTACCAGGACCGGAAGCCTGTTCGGTTTGGGGTCGATATGCATATCCATGCATGACTGGCAGTTGCAGCAGGAGGGTGTAAATAGTTTTAACGTTGTCACGCAATCGTTGTATTTCCAGCATTTCAGCAGCTGTGTGGCTTCCAGTGTGTTCCATGTGGACAATGATGTTTGTTAAATGCCCCACCGCACACAACAATCTGTTAGCATAAAACTCTCCCCTTTGCTGGTCCTGGTTGATATTTTCCATTTCACTGTCCACTTCTCTGAGAAGAGAAAGGACAGTGTGGATAAATTGTGCCAGGTCGTCATCTGCAGAAATCCTGCGGAAATTAAATGAATGAAATAAAAGTAAATACGGTTGTACTGACAATTAAAACTCCCGCGCAGCCGTTATTTGGCTCGTCAAAAAGCGTTGCGTGACGAGAAAAATTTAGGCTGTCACGTACATTATAACCTTCTTCTTCAACAGCAAATCACAAATTGCATAAAAAATAAAACGTTAATTTGAGAGATATTATATTACTAGAGATAAATCCTGATGGCTATTAGTACAGCTATGAGGAAAAAAAGATACTACTCCGCAAGCAAAACCATAGGTACGGAAAACGGTTTAAAATCACCCGCTTACCTTCTTCTGTTTGCCTTTATTTATAAATAACCAACATTATACTAGGTGGGGAGACTAGCTAGACATAGGCTTAGAATATATTCGAGGCAGCGGCTATCGACTATCGTACAGTTAAAAAGTCACATACCAAATACACAGAAATATCTCACCTTGTATACACGAAACTAGCGAGCATGCAAAGAAGAACCAACTGATAATACTTCATGATCTTCCACGACAAAACCAGCAACGATACAAATTGTCACAGAATATACTCGTAATTTGACTCTAACAGATATAAATATAAATATATATATATGCTTTTCTTATATAGATAAACTTTCTTAACTTTCGAGTAGCACCTTACGCGAGATCGATCGATAGATGGACTGTTTTCACATCAACACGCTGTAACCATGGTACCAAAACAATATTTCTCGTTCCCAGGCTCTCTCAACCTCGTTTCCATGTCATATAAATCTCAAAAGCGTTTCGAGATTTTCGTAACCATTACGAGATCTTAATTCGGAACCATTCCGAGATTTCGGAACCATTACGAGATTTTAATTCGGAACCATTCCGAGATTTTCAGAACTATTTCGAGAGATTCGAAACCATTTCGAATCTCGGAACTATTCCGAAATTCGAAACCATTGCGAAATTCGCAACCATTTCAAATCTCGGAATTTTTTTACGAATGGCGGGCCATAGAGCTGAGCATGATTTACAACATCGTTTTGGATTACATTTACAACACACACGGCCACAGAATAAGCCAGTGGAACCACACAATTCTAGATCCTGTTAGTCTAGAGAGGTATGCTGAAGCAGTCTATGACAAAGGTGCAGCACTGGACAACTGCATAGGATTCATAGATGGGACCGTAAGACCAATCTGTCGTCCTGGGGAATTACAAAGAGTCGTATACAATGGTCACAAGCGGGTACACGCACTAAAATTTCAATCATTTACCTTGCCCAATGGTATGATTGCAAATATGTACGGGCCTCTAGGTAAGTCTATGGTTCATAATAGACCCCAATAAAATTGTTTGAAACCCTTTACCTTTGTAATTTTGGGTGTTGACTCCCCGTTTTTTTTTTTTTAATTTTATTACAGAAGGAAGAAAACACGATGCCGGTATGTTGGCAGATTCCGGACTGCTTAACGATCTACAGCGTTTTGCATTTTTTATCACTGGTCAACCCATGTGCCTTTATGGAGACCCAGCGTACCCTCTCCGTATCCACTTGCAAGCTCCTTTGGGTAGGCTCTTTTTCTATCCCTCAGGCAAGGGGTAATCTGTGTATGAAATTCATTTTCTTATAAGTTTATTATTATTTATTTTTATGATTATGACGATGATTATTATTACTATTATCATTAGTTATTATTTACTATCACTATCATTATTATCATTACTAGCTATTATATTTATCATATTTGGCCATATTTATATATCAGTACATCAGAAATAACTTTTCATTGCATGATTAATATAAACTACTAGGGAGAAAGAGAGGGAGAAATTTTAGAAATATGTTGGAAATAAGTATTTTAAAGACAGCAGTATTAGAATATTTACCTTTAGATGCACCAACTTGTTTCTCTTCTGTTTGAGGTTTTGGAGTAGTTTTTGGAAGAACAGATAAACTATCTATGGCATTAGCTGCAGACAACAACAGTTCATCACAAACACTGTTCATGTCCTCTGGGATTCTCAGTTGCGTGTCGTGGGAACTGTTGCCTTCACAGATTTCCCTAAAAAAATGAAAAAAAATGAATAAAGTTATTTGACTTTATTACTTCGATATATTCAAGTGACTTAATGTACGCAATTCAGTGACTCAATGAACAGTATTTGATTTGATTTATATTTACATTTCTGGACTGTTAAATCTTTCGCTACCTTTTTTTGTTGAGTTCTTTTTGAAAAAAGTCTGAGAATAGAGAGAGAGAAAGAGAAGATTGGGCGGGGTTTGAAATAAGTGTCTTATTAAAAAGCTGTTGATAATGATAGCCTGTTTGTGTTGTTGATCACTGTAGCGTAACAAAAGAGCGATTACTTTACCTTGAATAGTTCGATGTAATCGCTTTGCAATTTCTTGCGGAGATAACAAACTTCATCAAACAAGTGAAGCCACAGCAGTTGAACTAGATGTGCGAGTCAATGTCTGCCTTGTAGTTGAGCTTGAAGTCGAAGCCAAAGCCGTTTGCTCTTTTGCCTTTTCTTTCTTCAATGCCAAGGCCTCTCTACCTTCGGGGAAGGACTTAAAATATTCCGTGAAGGAATCCTCATTTACTGACAAGGGTGATCTCGAAGCTGTCTCACTGGACTTGCTGTTCACAATCCATGCTGCGTATCCAAGACAATTTTCTAAGAGTCATTTGAAAGTCTTACCCCTGAATCTGCCAAACTGAAGTTCAAATTGGCAAAGAAGATCAGTGCAATTGCTCAGATTTCCACCAAGTCGTCTCACCTCACCTGGCTTCTTTGAAATGTACGACTGATCGGCAGTCTGAGGAGTGTTAACACTTTCAAGTAGTTGCTGGTAGTGGGGGTTCCCTTTGCATTCCTGGAATTACCCAACTACAAAAAAGACTGGGCATGAAATTTCTGCAAAGGCGGAGGGGATTCCTTATGGTGGGAACCCCCACTACCAGCAACTCCTGTTGCAATTGCAACAGGAGTTGCGGTTACAGGCCTGGATGGGCTCAGGACCATCCCATTTGCTGAAGGCAACTGAGGTAATTTGGGTAATACTGAAGGCTTGGTTACCTTTCTTAAAGATGCTTGTCCTGCTGTGTTGAACGTCTGTTTCTCTTGGTTTACACCTGTGTTAAGGGACTCTGGATGTTCTCTCGGCTGTGGCAATGTAGTATTAGTGGATGCCATTGGAGAAGGTAGATTAATACCTTGTTTGAGGACGTTCTCCTCCTGTTTTCTTGAACGCTTGTTGTACCTGAAAGGCAATCATGAATACTGACCTCAAGAACTCAATTAGAAACTCCCAAACTGAAAAATGTACTACTTATTTTCGATTGTGTTCTGATGAATTCTGATTGAATCAGGTTTTTTTCTGTTTATCTTTTTTTCAAATCCCGCGCAATCTTGCCGCCAGAGGAAAATAAGAAAGAAATTATACAAGAAAATGCAAAAAATTGCTTCAATCACTCAGGGGCCATGCTTTAAATACTTATTAGTCAAACTTACCAAAATAAGGTGTCAAATCCATTACAAGTGCACAGTCAGCTGTTACAGTCTACTGGCCTGTAAAGTTGAAATTCAAAAATCTTCAAGATTAATTATGGTATGATTTAATACTACTCAACCCTTGAATCAAAATGTAATGGTCATAACGAAATACAATGTAAAAATACTGAAAATAGTCAGATGGAATTTTCATGTCATAATAGTGTATTAATAATTAGTAAATTATTCCTTATCAATGAATAAAGATCAATGTAGCTGTCCATTGTGAAATCTAGGCATGGGTGCGGCCAACCACCAGGACTTGATCCATAACATCACGTTGCACCCTTTCTTTTGCAATTTCCAATTATAAGCAAAAGTAAAATCGTGTCAAGGTTGAATGCTTTAGAATTTCATTTATGACAACTAATTACGTGACAGATTTAGCAGTTGTGCACTTGTTAAAGAGCACAAATGGGCCCCATCGCTACGACAAAGGACCGTCACACTGATGGGGGAAAATATTGTAAACTTGGTGACTTGGTAAATTGAAATCAAAATCATACTTTTTTTGGTATAATGTAATTTGCCAAACGAAAGTCATAGATAAGACTAAAAATTCTGTCATGTAGAATTATTTTTTTCTTTTTTTGGATTTTCTCTTCGCCTTTCCTGGAGCCAGGCATCTACACTTGGATACCTTTTCCCCTCTACTGAAGGAGGTGGCACTGTCTGCAGATGTTAAAAGTAGTTGACCTCTGGTACTGCCATTTGCTTGCAGTTTCAGTACTTATAGTCGTTTCTCCTTCAGTGTTGTACGTGGCACTGGTATAACAGTGGGACTGTTATATACACGGACTGCCTCTTCAGCTGGAGGTACAACTCTTTATGTGTCTTTAGGTCTTTCAGTTGGTAGATTTGGAATAGATTTAAAGTCATTTGGCGTTCGAGCTGGATAGGTTGGTGGCTTGGACAAAAGTGACTGTGCAGGAGGAAGTGGCTCAGCAGACTCAACCGGTGCAGTGGGTGGGAGGGACTGGATCAGAACCCTGTTTTCTATGGTTTTCTGTCTCTTGTTAAACCTGTAGACAAAATAAACATTAGTAAACACTGTATTATTATTCTTGGTACAGTAAAAATGTGTTGTGCATGTAAATGTAAATTTGGTCCACTGTTAAGTATTTTGAATTGAAGAGAAGGGGTTTTGAAATGGAACTGTGTTGCACCTGCCAAGCATGAAAAATTCTCATCCTGTCATTGATTATCATATTATATAAATTGAAAATTTTGCTAGTTATCACGTCAGAAGAGCAGTCTGGTTCAGCTCGTATAATTGAATATTGGCTGCGTTCA